AGCAATAACTAAAATAGCAACAGTTTGAGTTGGGAAATGTTAACTGGAGGGAAAAAGACAGTTGATTCTTTCTTGTTATTCGAAGCCTTACATGACTGAAAGTTTCAACTCTCTACCCCCGTGGTATACCGTCATTATCTACGTCACTACTAAAAGTGAAGGTTTATTAACAAATTTGATGGGTCCGACGGGTGCAGATACTCGGAATAAAATGGGAAGCTTTGCCAGTTTGGGGCCATAAGTCACGAGTCACGATCGTCTCATCTACTGCAATTCGAAACCACCCTTCTAGACGTTCGTTTTCCTGCGTAAGAGATGACGTCATTATCCGCGTCACATTGTCTCCGTGGAACACTGAGTATATCCCATATTAAGCCTCCCGTTGCTCCGACACGGTGAGTTGGTACTTTTGTCCGAAACAAACTACCAGTATATTATAGACCTGGTCTATTTATTACCTTTTACCCCAGCAATCTAGCTCGTGCGAATCCTGCTTATGCCCTTCTTAGCACACTTGGCTGTATGACGTCCAGCAACAAGTGCGTAGGCAAAACGTTTGGTACTCTGAGACTTTAGTGTCATTTACTTGAAGAAAGCTGTTCTTGAGTATCAGACTCCTCGAACGAACTCACTGTTTTTGTACAGAATCACGACAACCGTACCCCGCACGCATCTTAGTTTACATCCTTACCCACCAGAAATGAGGTCGCAGTAACTGCCATATACTGTGCAACTCACAAAAGTATGACTGAGTTATTCTTGAAGGTGCTTGCTTGTCAACATCCACTATGGTGACCCACTCTGCCAGTAAATATTCAATTAAAGGAATTTGGGTTATCACCTGTGACCGGAGAGGTCCGTTAAGTGAAATAGTTGATAATTCCAAGCAGCAGAATAACGGCTGGAGACCGCCGCCGAAATGGGGCCACACGTCAATAAAACCTTAGCCATCGAGCCTTTCCGCACTGTCACACGATCATGCGGGCACACAGTCAAGGGTGTTATGTTCTGGTGACGCACATATGTTTAACGCAGATGAACAGGTCAAAAGACATTGGATTGACGCCGGTTTTTCGGTGCTTAGGTGGTTAGAAGGACAGGTTGGTGGTGGCTGCCAGGTTTATGTAATATGCGCTGACATCACGTTAATGCGTACAGTCCATCAGCTGCTCCACGTCAAGCGGATGGCCTGTGCCTCAAACGGAGCGAGCTCTACTGGAGGCCACAAAAGCCTGTGCTATCCAATCTCTATAATCATGGTGGCAAGAGCATAAGGGGACATAAAGTTTAGGAAACAACTGGCATAAACGTCAAAAAATGACAAAATCTTGGGGCCCTTTGTGAGAAAAAGCAGGATAGCCCCGCGGTTAATAAGCACATCGAGCTCTGATTGGGCAAAAAATTGTTGCACCACCATACAAGAACTCCAAACGCTCCCTTCTCGCTCAAACTGTTTTTCTTGATCGATCAGTCTTGGTTGTGGTTTTGTTCTCCTGAGTTTACTGAGTGAACGATGACCGCTTACATCTGGAACAGTGTGGACTGAGGAGCCCCTGTTCCGTACCTGTGGAATAGTGACAACTGCTAGTTCGAAATGCGTTCACTGAATAAATGGGCCAGCATTTCTTCCACTGCGTGACCCAAGGGATCGCAGGGATCTTTCGTAAAGCTATGCTCAGTCCCACTCCAAGTGACCTTCATTGATACAACATCTAGCTTGTGAACATCACACGACTACATTTTATTAGGAATACTTCCAAATGTAAAAAAGCACTCTTGATGCAGTGGGTCTTATAGACCACTTCTGCTTAGCCTCGACAGTTTCTTCACTCGCACAGCTTTTTTCTCCGGACAGACGATCCGAAGTGGCCAAAAATGGCTTCAACATCGACAGGGTTTTTTCTGAGGAGTGCAAACCGAATAAAAATACCAAACGCTTTTCTAGATATACATATATATGTATGCATGTTCAAATATATATATATATATGTGTGTATGTACATATGTGCATATAAAGGACAGAGAGTTGAGCCGAAAGATAGGCAGAATGTGACATGTGTGTATATCTTACTTTGTGGCATCCCAGGACCACACCGAAATGTTGTTATCAGAGCGCACCATTAGATTAGTCGGGATCAAGTCACGTGTTCCAGTCCATCAGTTCCCATACACACCTGATAACAATGGCCACGAAACTGAAGAGTGCAGATTGGATTCCCATCTCCAGTCCTGACAGATTATCGGGTGCAGTCATAGATGTTCCAGTTACCCGGACTTTTCCTTGCGGGAAATTGATGAAAGCAAACAGATCGAGTTGTCTCCCTCGGTAGCTTCATTGTGTGCAGGCTTTGGGCAGCATGTTGCACGGATGGAGTCTCTTTGGTTGGATGGAACGAGCTTTGGGCCCATTGATATTGTGCCACTCTTCCGCTAGAGTGAACCTGTCAGCGAACCCCACGCGTGACAGCACGCTAGTCATTTTTGTCGAAACTTAAGTAGAGGACCATAATACTGTCTTCACGCCAAACAATGGACCATTGCGAGCTGAGTTAGAGATCGTTACAGATGATGCAGTGTATGGTGATGTGGAGTTGACCAGGTGCAAGTAAACTTGATCACTTCCAGATTCTTGCGAACTTTTCTAATTGCCACGACCAAATGATTCAACAGATGCAGAACGTCTTCATCTACAGACCGACTTCGTCCAGCTTTAAGAATCAACAGAAGCACTGATCCTTGACTGCACTTGAAACCAAAGCTGTGAAAATGCCGAAACATGCTGAAAAAGCACATACTCTACATGCGAATTCTGTAGAGTTCATTTCGTCCTGTGTGTCCATTTATTCACCCATACAAACTCTACAATGTAGACCTCTTTCGAGAGCAACCGTAGAATTACTTTATGCCTGGGGATGATTCACACACAGTTGTGAAATCCTTGAACTCAACAAACCACAAAATTTTGCTATTTTTCTTCCTTTTTTGGAAGAGGGAGTAGAGCCAGAATAACAGTTATTTGAAACTCGAAATCGTGGATAAATAACATCATCTGCTCTTGTTTGACAAGTCACGGGATTTTGCCTTACGTAGTCACGTGATGGCAATGTAATTCTCCAGTGAACAGATCAAGTAAGAAGCCTCATGCAATTCTGTGGATTTTCTTGTCAGTTTTGATGCGTGTAAAAATTTTTGATTTCACATAAATCACGTTAGCATACAAATTCATCCATTAAACCTTTTCAAACCCGGAGAATTAAAAAGTATTGATTTTCTGCAAATGGTATGGGGCGATGTCTCAAAATCCGAAAGCAGCCTGCTCCTAATTTTGCCCTTTTTTGGGCTTATCAATTGGACACTTTCCTCCAAAGCTGACAGACTCAACGCCGAAGTCGAACAGCCCACATTTATAGCCTAAATGAAATTTCGAATTGCTGGAACTTGGGTTCCAATGGAGTCCCTCGTAGTCTGTAGCTTACGTTTACGCCTTTTGATATATGTGGCACGGAGGCCATCTAGAGATTCCGTTGCAAAAGTATTCAGTGAACTTTCTTTCGTTCAGTGTAAGCACCTGATGGTAACTATCTGCCTCCATTCAATAAAAACTAAACGGTATCACAATCCACAATTGGAATTGAGATGCTACAACAAGTTTTGTGTTTTCAAATTTACAAAAATGGGTTAACTAGACCGCCAAAAATAACTAATAAGCTGGTTTCAGGGGATGAGATACGGTTTGAGTTGCTTCGAGATTATGGCTGTATAAATTGACTGAGACAGTAGTTATAAAGAATTTTCATCGCCTTGCGTAAAAAATTTTTCCTCCATCGAGGGGACCCACAGACTATATTAGCAGTAAGCAAGTCAGATACAGGTTTCCTCTAGATTACAAAAAGGCGGGGTTGCGTACACGACACGTAGAGTCTTCTCACTGTGCACAGTGGGCGGTCATAACAATAATTTATGTGTTAAATTTGTTAAAGACTTCCAAGAGGTATCTTCAGTAACTCTTGCTTTAAGCGAAAACGACTTTTAAATCGCATAACATTTAAGGAGTTATTTGGAGTTTAAGAAAGACAGTGATAAAAACAAAGAATCGTTAGGGACCTTTTAACTACAACAGAATTAACGACAAAAGAGGAACAGGCAATGTGCACGAAAAAATCGCCAGGACACAACAATATTCTGCACAGAACATCCTGATAATAGATATGCACGAACAACTACCTGAAATCTAACTGAATGTGAGTAGTTTGCACACCAAGCTCAAAAAGCAAGAAGGTGAGAATCATCCTATGTTTATATCTCATGAAATCAAGTTTGGTCACAGAGTCACTGTAAATGCAAGATCAGTCTCCCTGATTTCTACCGTGGTAGATTAAAAATACGACTGGAAGGCTTCAAACAGCGGTGTGACATCAAGTGATTATTCCCATCAGTGGCTACGGTTGGGTTTCGCATGTGTTCTCATGTGTCCAGTTGTGGGCTGCACTAAGCGTTCCAATTCCAAACGAGCGTTAAGTCGCCTATAAATTCTGACCAGATAAAAGATAGAAAAGTAACAGCATTTTGCATCGCAGATGGGTTATGCCTTCTGATTAAGTTTTGGAATACAGCTACCGTAATTTTAATGTACGTTGATCACTTTCAACACCGACTCATTTAACTAAGTTGGATGGTTTATGCCCTGAAAAATGCTCAGTGGTGGCAATTTTTTTCTAAAGTATGATAACATGGTTGCTGATTTCTTTTCATTGACTAAAGCTATTAACTCAGTGCGGTCTCCATGTACAAGTGAATATCATCTAACCACACTCAAACCGTTCGTCAGATTTTACGTCAACGTTTAAAAATAAGGGCATAACCAACCCTACTTCTGTCGCGATGGTTGACGAGGGCTAGAAAAATTATTTTCCACTTCATCGCATCTGATTATTACCGAACCCTTAGATTTTTGGAATCCCGTTACACATTAAAACACATCACTACTTGTGTTTTTCCAGGCCTTAAGGACGAACCGAACGTTGAATATGTTATCACTCAGCGACAACGATATTCACGATACCGGTGCAACTGCACTGGCTGAAGTAAGTGATTTCAGCACCATTTCTTAGCAAAAATGAATGGCTTCGCCGAAAGACAATGGACCTTTGCTAAATTCACTCAGATACCCATCTCTTATATTGTTTGATTACAGTTGCGCAATTTTGGGGTTTTGAGGGTTAGGTATGTTTGTTCATAGCCACACCACTCTCTTTTGAACAGTCGTCCTACTGTTCTGGCGTAATTATTCCGGTGAGTCCACACCAAAGGGAATCACTTGAGTCGAGTTTCACTCTTATTAGAACTCATCAGCAGTGCATATCCAATGGCCGTGCGAGGCGAGCGTATAACCACCACTCCACCAACGCACGTTTGACGCGTCTGAATTAGAATTACAATTGTTTTCACAAAAAGAAACTGAAAGGACTTCATTTCATCGAGTACTCATCGCTCATTTTGCGGCTTTTTTATACTACAAACTATCTAGTTGCCCAGGGCCATTGTCAGTTTGCGATTTCTTACGACTCAATAATAAAACTAACGCGTAATTAACAAAACCTAATTGGTCGTCGGTGACCAAGGTCTCGGGTTCTGCGACCTTGAGACCCATCGCTCACTTGAACGTGCAACAGATTTTTGGGGAATCACTTCGTTCCCCTCTGTCACACGCTGTTTGTAAAGATGCATGTCCTTTTTTGGATCGTAAAGAGGCGAGTAGAGGTCAGGTTTTATTTGAGCTGTGCACAGGAACGAACGCATCTTGAATAGTGAACTGAAAGGGTAATCGATCCAAATTGTCAATTAATAATGCGGTAAGCATAAGCTAACAATCGCTGCACGTGTGCACCTCCCAGCCTAGATCTGAATAACATAACGTGACCAAGTGGACTAATTCCTCTCCTGGATAAAAATTTGAGAGCTTCAGATCTACCCATGTGCAGTTAAGGTGGCCACTACTGTTATCACTACACAATTGTCAGAGCCAGTAGTTTGATCTCTGAATTTTCGACAAAAATGAGTTGGTATGCATTATACTCATTTTGACTTTGGACGCTGTAGGGAATTGTTTGGACAATCTAGAGTTACACAATTTATTACTGTCATGCACTCTCACATTAATTTTCCTCACAGTTGACTATGAATCGTCTCCTGGAAATCCGGACTATCATATCTGTTGTAGACAGTTTAAAGTTTCTCATGAACTCTCGGCTCGCGTGATAATCTGTTGTTCATACTATCTTTGGCCGAAGTGTTACATTTGTCCCTATCTATTTTACTCTGTACTCTGTGCACGACTTTTCTGTCGTTCCTCCCGTTGGAAGGTTGATTATAAAATTGCTGTAGCATCCTTCCGGTGTCTAACTGCCATACCACCCGAAGGTTGCACGAGGGTTGGGATACTGCCGGGTTGCCCAAGCCTAGACAGGGGAAGTCGAGAGGCAAAGGTTGGGTTCGGACCACAGACCTTGCGATCAGTAAAGTCGCGCTCTAACCACTTGGAGCATCTCGTCCCCGCAAACACCATCAAATGGACAAAACACTTTTATTTGCGTCAAATACAATGTATCTTTTAAAGACTCCTAATCACTTCTAACTTCAACTGTTTCCACTCCTAGATTATAAGAGTTGTGAATTTATTTTGTGTATGGATGATAACAATTGTAGACCTCTGACATTATTTTGATCTCTTGTGAATCTAAACATCGAGGGAGTTAGTCAACTTTATGAAACTAAAATTACTTCAAGATTTCCGTATACAAACTTAAAACTCAACAAGTAGTTACTAACAGAAACTCAGCGACTGAAGTCTTTTTGCGCAGCACGTCAGCGGTGCATAAATTTGTCAGGACCAACTAAATTAGACCTCTCCTGTTAATAAAGATCACATTACTGTATTCAAGGTCAGACTCCCGCAACCACAGACTCAGTTTGCCCGGGGATGGTTTTTCAAACGCAATGTGCTCTGTAGCAACTGACTTGCACATCCCAAAACGAAATATAACTTGATGGACTGCTGGAGCCTTGAGTTACTCTCCAACTGGCTTTAGATATGCTTGCGAGTTCTTGTTCAACCTAATGCACTATTGGTAAATTTAGGTGTTCTATTCTTGCGGATTGAGTCCGAAGTCTTTTTATGCCCATGTATCCTTTTGCTCAAAATTAGACAGAGCAGGAAGCTCTTGGGATGATCGATGATGGTGCTTCTAGACAAAGATCAAGTGGTATTTGCTCAGAGGTGTCACCTTTAGCCCTTAAAGTGATCGACGGTGCAAAGGCGATGATTACGCATCACTCTGTTTCTATGGTTGACACCATCTATCGAAGGTGTTTCTAATAACATTCACTGGATATTCACTGGGTGATGATTTGATTTGACAAAGTTCAAGTTCAGGCCCGGATTTACGCTTCATATAGCAGCCGACTGAGTCAGCAGCATTCCAAAATTTTCCATGCCAGTTATTAAGCCGTCCTAAAAAGTTAAGAAAGAAAGGACCTTCAAATACCTTTTCGTGCACTACTTTGCGCTTATGGATTTTAAACTGTATGACATTTTTAGTTCAAATGATGAATACATTCAACCTGACATTCTGTGCCATTAAGAGGCCTGCCGATCATTAAATTGACTCAGGATTTGTTCAAAGTTCAGTATGAAATTTTTCTGGTATAAAATTTTGGCCTACGTGCCAAGCGTGTTGTCATTTTAGCAAAGTGCTTGCCAGCGCACCTACAGAAGACCTCTCGTGCATGGGACTGGCACTGGCATTCGGTGATACAGTTTGTGTGTACAGCTTTGCAGCTGTGGTGTACCTTACATTTGACGCAAAGTAGGGCAAGCAGATGCTTTTTTTGGAACGCAGCCGACAGGATAAAAACCAAATGTCAGATTTCCACAAACTTTGCTAAAACCGTTATGTAGACTAAGAAAGAAAACTGCTTTACATTAGGGCAAGTGTCTCTTGAAATAAGTTCAACGCATGGCCGTTAGTGTCAATATATATGAGTTCTTTAAAGGCGTGCTTTGGCCTTTCGGTTCATCTCTCAGAATGTTTTTTTATGAACCGGCTGGGATGGTCGTTTGATCGCAGTGTACGTTTGGGCTGATCGACTTCCCCGTCCAATATAGCAAAGCCTGCTTTACTCCACAGATTCATTTATGAACCAACGCGCGTTGGTTCCGTCGTGGAAAAAGGCTTAAATTTCGGACAGTCAGGAGTCCCGCATTTCTCTCGAGTATGACGGTACAGCGGCTACTTATTAGAATCCAGATGTCCAAAACCGAATCTTTTTTCTGCTTTTGCAAGTTTACATGCGAATAGAATATTCTGAAGGAGAATGGCAAAAGAGACGTCCGCTATTTTCACTTTTGTTCACGATACTTTTGGCTGTTAGGATGGGAGTAGGACTTTATGTTTTTATCGCATAGTGTGAAGTCTTTAGAAACAGGAGTGAAAAGTTCGGCTGAACCTGCTTGATATCCTTTACCCGAACTATCCGCGACTTTCACTGGACGAACGACTAGTGCTGTCCAAAGTAACAGTCGTTTCGCAGATGCTTTTATATAGTCGGTACCGGACACCGTACTATGCATCGGAATTGTACTTCTGCGTAAGCAGTAGTAGGGGAGAAATTTCATTGGCACATTCGTTGGAAAACAAGGTCCAAATGGTCACCGCTTTCACACGCCAAACAAAGGTGCTTTGTAGTATTCTTACCAGCAATCGAAGATCCTTGATTCGTGATTCGAGAAGCTGAGGTACGTAGGAAAGAGCAAGGAGATACTTCTAAATGTGTAGTTGAGCCACCGACCTATGGACACGTAGATTGGCACTTTTTCAACTGAGTTATCGTGCGCAACACTAATGGGCTAGGACTTCAAGTAAGATTCGCCATATCTTCTAATGTCTCACGGGATTAGATGGCCTCTTTGGGTGATTCCAGAATAAATCAGAGTTCCACATCGAACAAATGCTCTGATATAAGTCTTTGGAAAGGAGAATGAGAGCCAGTAGATTTGACCATGAGAATTCCAAGCGTAAAAAATGAACGAAAATATGTGCCTGGAGTGGGAGGCATCATAGCTTGCCAGCTTGTATTTGGTGGTTCTAGAGATTTTGATGTCTCTATAGAGATCAGGTTCGTGTAAGCCCGAAGGCTGGGAAATAATAAACCACAGTCAGAAATCTCAAACCTTTCAGCCTTATGGTTAGTGGTTGAACGCTGCGATTTGGTCGCTGATCACTACTATTTATGTCAACGCTGCCCTCCAGTTCGAGTCTAAGCGCGGGTTAAGTACATTGCTGATCAGTCATTCGTCTTTGAATGTTATTGTGGCCATCCAAAAACCAGAATTTATTGGAAATGGATGCTCGGTAGAGTCTTGTCAAGTGTGCTGGGTCGATTGTTCTCAAAGTGGATAAAACACCTATAATCTTCACCTTATCTTTCCAGTTTGGATTGACCACATTTAAAAGGTAAGATTTTCGTGGATGTTTAAAATGCTTTTCACAGGGACTACAAGACAGATGTCTTGCACAAGAATACTTTGATCGGCAGTAAACCCTGAGTCACTATATTTGAGAAGTAGATAACAGAGAACTCACAGGGGTTCAATAGGTCATCTCACGGAAGAGGGCTGACTGAAATGGTCAAAACAGTCACGGAAAACGGCGGAACACAAGTACCAGTAACGAATCAAAATGTCAGCATCCCAGATCCAAGCACTGGACAAAGAAATATAGTACCTCCAAGCCGCATCCTCCTTCCCCAAACCAGCATCTGTGCCTTTGAGTCAGTTTTGTCGAAAATTTTTACAACTATATTCTGTCAGTGGTGCAGAGATTTTGAACTAAACCAAGGGCCGGAAACGAAAATTTTCCATCCAGTTAGAGAACTTCATCTAACTTCAAAGTAAACTTTGAGAAGCATGTAGGTAAGCTCTCAAAGCGGATGTTCAGAAAGGCACACAATTTGTTTTATCCATTGGAACATTCAATAAACGTCTTAACTCGTTTCAAAGACATTTTAACCGATTCGCTGCTGAGGGCTGGTTTGCCGGAGATAGTGCTGTTTTCCATGCCCAGTTCAGAGTGGCGTGAACAGAAAGGTGGCCAACCCTTGACTTGGCAGAGAAGTATGAAAGAGATCAGAAGCGCTTGGGTGCTTTCGGTGCTACTCGCCTTCCGGGATGGGGACCGCGTGATCCTTACTCTGCCTGGTTGGTGACACCACAAGATATGGCTGCCGACCGATGTCAGTGGCGTTCTTGTTCTCAGTTTCTATCCAGATCGCCTGAGTGAATGTCTGGAGGTGTGGGCACCTCGGAATGATTGTGCTAAGCTAGTACTAAGTCCCTCCCCCGTCCACCTTTACTCTTTTCTTTGCAATAAGGCTCCCAAATAAATCATGGTTGTACGGCAGGGAAGCATCGGTATTGAACACTGATGTCATGCTGATGATGATGATGATGATGATGATGATGATGATGATGATGATGATGATGATGATGATGATGATGATGATGAATCCAAAACCGGTGGGCTTTGATTACCAATGGGAACAGACACCAATCAGTGAGAACACATTCAATGACTGGGACCATTTCGGTACGACGAGCAACTTGTCACTCTCCCACAAAAGATCCAAATCCGTGTTGTTGAGTCATTGTGACCGTTACAAAAATTGACCCCAGTAATTCTGCACATTATAAATTTTACAAGTGAGAAGAAGTAGTCCCACACAGCACAAAATGTTGAATGCAAAATAAAAGATATCATGAATTGGTCGTTGGCTTGTTCGTTGAGCTGGGCAATTTGGTTGCAAACGTTTCATCACCAATCGAGGTGACATCATCAGTGCGTAGTTGTGAGTAGCACTGATTGTGCTTTCATGAGTGCATCATACTGCTTATCACTCACGTGTGGCCAAAGATTATCTTTAACCATGTGTATGGTACACCCTGCTGATAATCCCAAGCAAAGTTGGGAAGGTGATAGACTTGGGCAACTTACAGAATAAAAGCTCTACCTGACAAATTGTTTTAAACACTGACAGCCTCTGTAAAACGCGTTTTTTGTTGACCTAGGAGATCAATTGTAGTAGCATTTCCTTCATATCAATTTTACATTTTTTTCCGTTGAATAATCTGTATTCGGTGAAGCTCTACTGATCTGCGATTTTGTATAGCTTTTTTATCTCAAAAATGACCTTGTTGGGGCCAAACCCACTTAATTGAGGCCTTCCGAAATCTCAACAAACTTGCCGAGTCCATTTGTACTCCGAAATCCAACATGATAGATGGCTCGTTTGTCCCACAAAGTACAAAGGGTTGACGCTATCTCACTTTGTTAGGGGACTTTTGATTAGTGTCCCTGCTAGGCTGGTTCCCATTCGAGCATACTACGTGGGTGAATAAGGCAGGGAACTGCAAAGTTTGCACCTTAATGAATGAGTTTGTCAATAAACACGAATTTGGACCAAACCTTAGGCAAAACGGAAGTAAAAAACCCACATAGTTGGCGTTAAATCATCGTTAAATCATCGTTTATCGTGAAAGGGCTGTTAGCACAACTTAATGCCGATAAATCCGTACAGATTCACACGCTGTGCCTTTTGTTATTCGAAATCCACTCCAAGCACTTGTCTCTCTTACTCCATAAGATTTCCTAAAGTTGAATGTTCCTGAATGCCAAGGTCACCGACATCATATTCCATAGCCGTTCCCCTTCCTGGTTTCAGGTGGTTTCACAGTATTTTTTAACCCACGAAGAAGTTGTTCAACGACGGATGCTTCAATCTGCAAGACAACTGATACAAACTCAGCCTGTGGTAAGCCTGTTAAGAATTACAAATTGAAATCTAGTGTGAATTCTGCAACTGGATGAGATATTTACTTGCAAATGAGTGGCCTACGTCTTCAAGGATTTGCAGTGCCCATGTCTCACTCAAATCCACAGCCCAACAGTGGTCAGAAACTTTGTTTTAAGCCACCCAAACTAGGTTTCTTTCGTCTGTCTCAACTTAACTTACGCTGCCAGAGCTTGAGGCACTCTATACGGTTGAGATGAATCTTTAAGAAACGTGTTCCAAGAATTAGATACAGTGCCTTCTTATTAGTTCTGAAAAGAGTATTCCAGCTTTAGGAGGTGTCTATTTTGTCACCTATAATATGGGCGTTAATGCCAGTCAACCATTCTACCATCTATTTACCAATGGGCATGTTGACCCAAATGGCGGTAATGTCTTCGTTGGAAATAGAGGATAATGACCAGAAGACAGTCCTGAAGAGGCGAATTCACCGAGGTTAAAGTGTTTAGCTTCACTTAGGCGGAGAAATCGGTGCAGCTTCTTGGTGGAGATGATAGCTTTACTGCACGCGCACCGCTGCTTACGTGTCGTTGTCATTGGACATTGATGTGTTCACTCTCAAGGCTCTCATTTTCGAAGCGCTAATTATCAACACTAGGGGAGAAACTGGTTAAAGCTTTCCGATTATATTGTCAAGTTACCTTAAGTCGATTTCATCCTGCATTAAACAGAGCAAAAGAGAGTGCGAGGTTTTCTGGTATGAAAAGCGAATGGCTAACAAGAGCATTTTTTCGAATATGACTGCGGTACTTAAATATGATCTATCTCATCTCCCTACTAGACCTAGGCGCTCCTTAGGAGACACTGACGGTCAGCAGTGAAAGTCGTTAAGGCAAAAATAGATGATTAGGAAGGAGGCTGATCAAGTAAACCTTAAAACCTAGTTATTCATGTAAACTGAGTGGTGTTCTTTGATTGAGTGAGGAGAGTCTGGAGTTTCTAAGGGAAATTTCGTCGTGTATTGAAGTGTATCTAAGCTGAAAAGTACGATATTTCCCAGCCACCCAACAGCTATTTGTTAGTGAACAGCCACAAAAATCAGTCCTGAAACTAAACACACAGCACAAATTTAAAATGATCGTTTTCACGGGGAATCGTTGGGTTTGAGGACTTACAGACCAGATTCCACTAGAGTAACCAGTTTCTGCCGGTCCGTCAGCAAGTGATATAAAATGGTTTCACTGTGCCTGCTTATTATCTGATTGGGCTAGCCTCAGTCACGCAGTGGCTTGCAGACAAAGGTGACTAGCGTCAACTACATCAGGGACTCGTTTGTTTTAGCAAGTAAGAATAGGTTAAAATTATTGCTCACCAGGCAGATTCATACTTGAAGGCAGACTTGTAAACTGACCTAACCGTTCATCAGGCACGTTCTTTTTGCTCAACCTTCTTCAAAGTGAAATTTAAGTTCTAATTCGTGCCAAATAAATTTAGAATTTTAGAGTGAATACCGTTTGGGAGGATGGACAGTTTGGTTTCTTCTTGAAAGCTGAAGAGAATACTTATTTATATTTTTGACAGATATCAGTTGTTCATCCACAAAACAGAAGTTCATTGAATCAAATGTAAAGCACAGATCACAAGTGTTACCAAAAGAAAGCTCATTTCACAGAGTCCTTTTCTGTTGGACGAAAGTTTGTAGTTTGTTTTTACTCACTCGGACTTTCTAACTTTACATAAAATTCCACATTTTTCCGCCCGTACTCCACATCCTCAGCAGAACTCCAATCTCGATTTTACCCAACATATTGCTGTTTCCTTCCAATTCTGACAGTCTTTACTTTTCATCACCTCACTGAAAGCCACAGGGTCCTACGACTGGAAAGCGATCTAAAAAAGGCAGCCCATCAACAGACGCAAGAGAGGCAAGCGAAAAGGTCCAGGAGCAGGGAAACAGAAATCGAGTTAGCAAGGCAAGTTTATGTACTTCTTTTCCTCTTCATAGTTGGTCACTTGAAAATTAACACTGAAAATATAACAGCTCGAATTACGTTACATCCACAACAGAATGAGGGAACAGAAAAGGAGGACAAACGGGGACCGAGATCAAGAAGACTGGAACAAACCACAACAAAGAAAGGTGAATGGTCAGTAGTTATCTGTTAGTCACTTTCCTTCTTGATGAAGTGAATCCTCATTTGTTTTGTCATTTGGATTACCAAATGACTTTCGCACGGTGCGAATCTCCCCAGAGGCTTACTGTCCGGTCCACCTTTTGCCTTTACATTGGGCAAATAATCTTCATCTTTGTCTGTGTGTCGGAAATTGCATACAAATTGCTACGTTTAATTGCGCTACCTAGACACACGAGGGTGTTTTTGATAGCGATGAAATGAACAGAGTGAAATATATGTTGTGTTGAAGTGTATTGTTATTTCGAGGCTTTTGAAGCTCGATTTTTTCAGTTTAATTGGTTTGGAGACGAAGAATGCACACATGTTGTTGCAAACCAAAGATTACTTGTCAAAAGTACACAAAAATTCAGACTCTGGATATGTGGAGATGATACAGTATTCGCTCGCAGATGAAGATACACTTTTTGCATTTTCGGATGTTGATAATGCCATCTAATCCCGAGAAGCCGATCTCTTGAATCAGATGGGCGATATCTTCTGGTCCATTTATTGGCGAACTTTCTATTTGGGAAAAATACCCAAAATAACTATAAGCCTTATAAATATTCCGCATTCTTCGGCACTACTGTTAGGGGTAGTCACGGCTGTTTGGCAAGTTACTACATATCCTCCATCTCAACACAACGGTATATAATTAAGACTGAAATGTTGCCTACTGTTTGCAGCTTTCACTCCAACCGGAGTGAATACATTATCGTGGTGACATAAGCTACCAAAAAAATCCACAGGAGTCAGAAACTTATCTAGCTAGGTGGAAAAAGCGCAGATAGCTGCTCGTGCTAGGTGAACTCCTCAAAAGGAACAGTACGTCAAAAAGGAGTTGTGGCATCCTCTGATTTACTGCCTTTTGAGAAAACGGTGTGTTTGGCATCGGATAAATATGAGTTTGATATAAAAGAACTGTGATGTCATCTTGAAAGTGCAGCCGAAAAGTAAAACAAGTACTGTAATTACAAGCAAGTGACATCTGGCAGGCAAACTGGAATGGTCATACTGGGTTGCTTTTCAAGAAAAGTTCTGCCAAAATACTGTACAACGCTGCATGAAAGTTAACGGAAGCTTAGCCAGGTGATTATGTGCGGTAGAGAATACCAAGATGAATCTAACCAAATACTGTGGAATTAATTGGGCTAAATTCTACGACGTGTAGGTAAGGGGAAAGAATAAAACTGTGGCTTGTAAACTACTCCTTCGTGTTTATCATATTAATTAGAGATCGATCAGTGTGTCAACCTAAATTCCTACGCGGTACTTGTGAATTTGTATAAAACGCTACCTTAAAAAAACAAGTTTCGTCCATACTAAATAAAATCATTGCAAACTCTGAACTAAAATAAGAACCCCTTAACTGCTTCACATTGCGTTCTGCATAATTAAGTTGATGTATAAATAAGGTCCGTAAACCATGTTATCACGAATAACCCATATCTCGCGGTTTTACCATTCATAATGTCAGAAACTAATCTGCGTCAGCCGTTAATTTCATCGGCTTGAATTGTCCTGCAAGACGAATATTGGCCACCATGCTTTAAAGGCATTGAAAGCTACCAAATACTGGTGACTATTACTGGGTTTTTAGGCACAGAAATACAAGTTGGGGATTTGTGGTTTTTCTAGCAGAAGAGAGGAGAAAACCGCTGAAAGAAAGCATGACAGTGAACAAGACAAACCTCAAAATTCTGACTTGTTTCAAATTTAATTTATTACAAACTTGACTGTAGATCGCAACTAGATATGCCTCTCATTTCAGTATCTTATTTGTCGCCATGCTTCATTTACCCATATCTGCAGATGTGATATCTATCTTATACTCCTGGCGCCGTAACCATTAGAGCGAAGCCACTTGACTTTTTTGTTTATTACATTAAGCCTAACTTCATAAAGTTCACCTTAGAACGAAGGCGGAGTAGCGTAGTTTATTTTTTAGTATGGAACACTTCCCGATCCTAGAGCTCATAACAAAACAAAGTCTTCCTCGAAAAATAATTATTTGGTTCTCAACAATGAATAACGTGCTGATGACAGGCAAATGACAATTTCTCCTCCTCAGAGCTAAGAACTCACGTACAGGCAAACTCGTATTGTTTTTAGCCGTGGCACAGTTCTATTTTTAGCTACTGAATGATAAGTAGAAATCTAATCACTATTGGTGCGTCCACTGGGAACTACTGAGACTCGAATCACGATTAGTGTTGTGTCGTTCTGAGTAGTGGTGGAGTTTTCTAACATCTTTTGCACAAGAGTGTTTCACTAACAATGACAGCGATATTTTAGCTGTGTAAGCAGAAGGTTTTATGAATAACCATTCCGACCTACCTTCTTGTTCGTAAACTCTGGAATTTCCCATCCATCCATCGTGATAAAAGCACATTTGCACAGTAAGACTGTATTGAGCATGACGCCTACTTTGAACGTTCTGAGTAAATCAGTTTCTAGGTGCAACTATCAGTTCCTGAACGGGCGTAGATGTTTTGGTGTCTTTTATCCGTCGTCGCTCTGGTACATGCGGAGCCTAGAAAATCTTACTTTTCAGTTAGTCATCCTGATTCGCTCAATATTCATCCCAAATCTGATATTTACTTGAAAACTGATTTGAGATTTGCTAACATTCTAAATTTTGTTCCGCAATTTGATTCCGGGTGGTTGCATTAGCTTTGATGGTTGGAAAAACGAAGTTAGTGAACGGATCTCAAAGGAAAGACCTGCTTTTGTCAATTGGTTCACTTGGGGAATCGAAAAAACATAGCTGGGTCACAGTGAATACATGTATCAGACTACCCTGTGCGCTGTATGGCCGCGAGACGTAGCCGATGTGGACGGCGGATGTGAAAAATCTTCAGGCCTTCGACCACCGATATCTCAAATATAGGTGGAATCGGCTGAAGCTGCCGACTTCTGAATGTGTTCACGAAAGGGGTCTCTGGCGCAGCATAAGGCATTTTACCCAAAGAATACATTCAGTACTACAAGCTTAAGTGGCTGGGCAGTGTATTACACATGCCGATTTATTGCCTGCCGAGACGGGTGCCATTTTCCAGACCCAATACGTAGTGACGCAATCCTTGAGGTGGACAGAATTTTTTAAGGGAATGAAGGATATTACAAAAAATCTGCATGATGTTAGTGCTGTCCGTCCTCCAGGACCGAATTCACATGATCCTCTCTTTGCTTGGCTGGAGACAGTAAACCATGTGGCGGCTAACCCGATATCAGTGATATTCATACTGTTGATGTCCGTGAAACGGAGCAAATCTACCAACGTGTTTTCCCTTGAAGAGTCAAATGACCATTTGGGTAACCAGAAGGTATGGTCTCTTAGATAATGAGGATTTCGTTTTATCGTGGGAGGATGAAAATGTTTAAAGGCCTTATGCTTTCAAAATTGTGCGCGCCATGGCGAGTTTCCTCTTATAATGTTTCTTTGATGGGAAAGTGCCGTACTAAACACTGGTTGACAGGAGGTCATTAATTTATTACTTAAAATTTCGTAAGAAAATTTCATCACGGTATAAACCGGTAAAAATTGGGCTAGGGATAAACCAAGCAGAAATTTCGAAAACAGTCTCACAGAAAGTAGTAATATGTTTTCTACAATATATGGTAGAGCGAACAATACTTTGAAATTACGATAAATTCACCTATGTTAAAATTCCTAATGTTGTACTAAATAAACTCATCCTCGTCACAATTTTTCTTGCCACTGAATTTCACCAGCCGTCACCTTTTCCAATCAGCAGTGTGAGCTCAGCCTCCCGAGCACGGACACTGAGGACTACAGCTCTCAGGAAGACCTATCCCAAGAAACGAGTATATTCGACGTTGTCTCAAGCAGTAATCAGTATATGTTGTATCTGTTATTGTTGTAGCAACTTTAAGTATTGCATACGTTAGGCTAGTAATCCTCCGCCTGCAAAGGAGGCAAAAAACTGGTATATATGTGCATATATATATATATATATATATATCATGTCTAGGTTTTCGCCTTGTTTTGTTAAGAGTCCCTCTGGTTTTCTCATTTATCTTTGTTCCTGTCATTCATGAGAAACGTTAGGTAGACAGAATGCAAATTATACTTAAAACCGTTTCACTAAAAGGAAGTAGTCTACTACCACGAGTGAAACACACCGTATTTCATGAGTGATTAAAACGAGTGAACCAACCACCAGATTTATGAAACTTGTCTAACGCTTGTGACGAAACGCACTGATTTTCAAACCTAGCCAGTGGTAACGGGAAATTCGAGTGGATGTCAGGACACTCTGACCAATCGCGCTATGCAAATTTAGGTAACCTTTTTCGTTTGGCAAGATATTCGAGATAACGTAGTGTCTTTTTGATATGGTAGTCGTCTTTTCAACAAGATTGAAGAAACAGCCAACACAGTTTGAGAGAACCCTTTTACAACATGTCGATGTAGAGCGCTTACCTAGTTACGAAACCCCTTTTCGTTCCATCACTTCAGCTTGCCTTTATGCAGCGCATAACATATTCCCACGTTTTAGGTAAGAGCAGGTAGGTAGAATGCCTTGATACCACCGGGAAAATTTCAGCGGTTTGGCAAAACGACTTCTTATTTGCTGACTATTCAAACAACTGCGTATCTTTGTAGTACTGAGCGTTTTATGCTCCTTAAGCTCCAGGTACAGAAATCTGTACTCAGACCGCCATGAACTGTAGCTGTCGTGATTTCTCTCCTACCATAAACTGTAGATTCTGCTCAAACCCCCAGAAATCGTCAGCCGAGTCAAGCAGTTTCAAGCTAATCTTCGCACCTCAGACAATTGAGTTTCGCTTTTCTTTATCCATATGTCCCCAGTTTGGCCCCCGAAAACCCTTCCAGACATCCTACTTGTTGGACATTGCCCAATCCTGTTTTTTTATTTCTGTGGCTAAAATGAGATCATTCTCATTCGCAACAGTTGTCGGAACGGTTTACCAATTATTACCTTGAAATCTCGGTTGTTTCTGGACGACATATTCCGCGTAAAAGTTCGTTCATCCATGTCACTATATTTGTCGTAACAAGATGAGCATCGGCAATGGGTTCACAATTCTGTTCGACTAAAGTTTGCATATATTATTCCCCGGCTACCAGACACACGGAGAACGAGTGGAAGGATGGGAACAAGCCGTACGGTCCGATCTGGGAGAGAAACGCCAGAGTCCAACCAAGCTGACCTGATCTTACCCAAAATAGTAAGACTGTTGTGCTTTTTCTCTATTGAGATTAACTTTCTCTCACTGGAACGAAAAACAATACGGCCCACCTGGAAGTAGTCCGGTTCTCATGCATGCAACATAATGTTGGGAAGTTATGGATTTATGGAAGCCAAAATCCGTCAAAATGAGCTACGAGAAATTCCTACATAGACTTTCTTGTTTTTTCTTTATGTAATCGACGACTAACCTCCCTCGCTGAACCATAATTACACTAATCCCCGTGATCTATCCGGCAAGTAGTGTGTTTCTCAGGAACACTTTCAAGATTTTTTTTGGTTTGTTTTCAAACCTTTCTCATCTGATTAACCTTCTACTCTTTCCTGATTATTGCAGTTGTTTTTCTGGCTATTTCTCTATATGCTCTCCTATCCATATAGACTTGTGTGCAAAAATCATTTTCGAAAACGAAAAATCGCAGTTATTCAGTTTTTCACGTAGGTGGAATTGGTGAAACACCTCAAAATTCCCTCATTAGTACAAAACAACTCTATAAAAAACCCAACAACATGGAACTGTCTCTTTTCTTTATTACCCGTATTCTTCAGCCACGTCCAGACAGCGCGGACTCGACACATCCACTCATGGGAAAAGCCACTTATGTTGAGCCCCACGGATTGCAAGTTGTGGGAAACTTCATGTTGGCGTTTCTGAACTTGTCTAGTAAGTGGATTAGCATTTTAAAACAGCCACTGCTGAAAAAGACAGTTTACTGTGCCTTCCTTTTTACTGACTTGTGTTTTATGTGCGTGTTTCACATATTACAAACGTGTTGCCATATTATACAGAAACAATTTAAATTGCAAACACTTTAGCTCTTACCAGTGGTTCGGCTAACAATAGCAAGATTTCGGTTACGTCAGCAGTTCAGCGGTTTGTAGTAAGTCGCTCTTCTGGTTAGAACTGAATAAGACGTAGATAGTCTGATTCTGGACATAGCTGTTGTAATGTGGATCCTCCATAAACGGAAAACAGTTTTCTCCCCGGGGAAAGATAAATCCAAGTAGATTTGAGAGCTCCGAATGGGTATGTATGCAAACTCAAGGGGCTTACTGGCAGCAGATCATGATAGACGTTTATGGGTTTTTATGGGTGATGAGTTCTTCGCAGTTTTTCTACTTAGAATGCTTCTTGTATGTCGCGCGTCTCATGATGTGATAAGAGTGGTTTATGAGGAATTAGGTCACGTCCACGTAGCTGACAAAAGCCATTATACAAAATACAAAAAAGGATATATAAACAAGGAAATCGCTGAGATTGGGCAGTGATGATTGTTGGTGACCTGAAGTTGGAGTGATCCAACGCAGTTTATTTGGTCTGGCGCCAGATGAGATAATTCTTTATTCAAGTAAACAACAACTAGTTTACACGAATCGGATGATGGATCAAGCAGCGCTGATCAAGAGGAATGAGTTGAAAAATTCAGGAAAAAAAGGACACACTGAGATGTAATCCTACGCACGGAAACCAGATTCATGAAGTCAGTAAATTTTATGTACACCGAGCTGCCCTGAACATCCTCATAAGCCGTTCTTCGCTAGCAGAAAAGAGGTTTCGTATACGTACCAGAAAACGGATGAGGCGTATGTATTCGAAGTGAATGGAAACTGCATATGTCAGCTCACGACTTGACTTGACATTTTGAAATCTGTTGTACTGCTATGCAAAGGCCCAGCCCTAGTGGGTGTAAAGTCACGAGTGCAGATAGATGGCGCGATCTGCAGGAAAAATTGAAGCTAACCCGATAAATCAAACGGAAAACGCTTAAGCCGTTCAAGAATGGTAGACCTAGCGGTCTGAATCAGACGGAGCTGTACAGCATCACACACTCGTCCTGAGGTTGAATTCAATTTCTGCTGGATTCTGTTAGCCGATCAATCACCTCTGTACTGCAACAATAGACGAACAACTTTCTTTCCGTATCGTTGGACTGCTGGTGCTCGAGAGCCAAGTGGATCTTGAATTTCAGCGAAATCACCTAGTATTTCTTTTCTGGAACTCTCTCTAACCCTGACTCATCTCAGATGCAGATAGCCCTTGTCAAATATCATTATGGCTGTTCCGAGATCATAAGCCATTGGTGCAAAGCTCGAAAAGTGCCAATTTTGGTTAACTGACATGAGGAAAGCTGAGTTGTGTGGACTACGCCAAATTATATGCAGATATAAAACATATAAACTTAATTTGAGCTAATATTCACGTGGTACATACATGTTTGGGAGAACAGATTGGAGGATACTGTAGAAATGGTCTTTAGTGATGTTAACGGAATTCCAAAAAGGTGGCCTTTGTTCAAAATAACCGATGATGTATTATTAGGAACCCTCCTTCCAAACGCTCCCAAGTAGTTTCCAATTAGTGCTGAACAAAGTGAACTATTCTTCGTAATATCAGTTTTTTCCGCGGGGTCTAACCATTCCAACCCAGATATACAATCGGATGGATCCCTTAGGACATCTATCAGAGTCTCAAAATGGGACTATTTCTCATAGTGTCATCGCAAGATACTTCATTCACGTCAAGTAAGGACGAATTTTTTGAAAGAGAATCACATGAATAGAAAATGCTTCCCCAGTACTCAGTTACTTGACCGACACCAAAGGATCGTTCATGCATTGGGAAGGTTGAGTCCCACTGAGCAGCCCCTTTGTAAACCTTGGGTGCGTCCTGAGGTTTTTCAGAAGCTGCGCCGATCGACTTCATGTAACCGTACTAAGCTTCTGAAAGGCAAGCGTGGAAATCCATGTTGCTACCCAGCTCTGATTTTTCTTTTAAATGAATAATTAGTGCTCAATTTTGGGCGTAGTCCTTGTTATCCACTGTACCTACATTCTCAAGTCGAAGTTCTTTATAACTCATTTACGTCAGCTCTTTGATTTCTTCACACAGTCTCCTGCTGCATCGGTACTGTTGAGAGCCATATACCGAGAGGCAAGTTTCAGAACATGATGCTGCAGGGTTTTCACACTAGCCATTAATCTATTGACCTCTGGATGCAGCCCGTCTGGCAGCTTGAAATTTAGACCGAGTGATGAGCATCGCTGTATAGGCTAGTGATTTTCGGGTGCACTTTGCAACTCTAGGAAAGTAGACGACAGTTTGTAGAAAACGTAGTCTATGATTTCACTTTTTAAATTAGGTTGTATCGGAAATACTAGGCACGCCAACGACAATTCATTGAGAAATTCAATACAGCAATCTCGTGCTTCGAAGACTTTGCTGAGTTTCCAACCACTGCTTATGATATAATCGTTCTTCAAAGATTGAAGCTATCCGCAGGCAAGTTCTGCTCCTTCAACAACACCGGACAGAGTATAGCGAGTCACTTGAATATGGAGTCCCTTCATGGGTGTCAGATTCCGTGTGCATTCTCATTCCCTTACGTCCTGCTCTCAGGTCAGTTCTGCTTTGGTTTCATATACATGCATCCAAGCCCCATACACAAGAAGTTTTTATTACCCAGTATTACACTGTTCACGCTGCAGGAAATCGGATTAGTGAAGTCGGCCTAGCCTCCTTTCTCAAAGCCATGGAATTTCAAGCAGAACATATTCGATCTGATACAAACTGCAACGGGCTTGGCCTTCTGAAACTTCTGTTACGAGTGAGTCATTTCCAACAGTTTTGTGTTTTTTTCCAGCAAACAATGTCATCCGAAATTAAAGGTATTTTGGTCGATGCCGTCGGCAGATCGCCCGGATGGGTAAGGGTCAACTCCGTGCACTGAGAACGAACTCTGATGACAGCGGCAATCGAGGTTTGTGTTTAGTCCGTCCAGAACAGGAAGAAAACTTACACTACACTGAAAACATATACACACCAGATTTTGGCTCAGGTACAATGGTATAGAAGACGTTAGTTGTCCAGGTGCGTTTCTAGACATGTCGGTCACTGCCGATGTCCTCTATGTTTTTAGTAATGAGAATCACAAAACGAAATAGAAACTTACATCTATCATTACAAGAAGGTTACACATTCAATCTTGAGGAGAATGTGTCCTTCCATAAGAGTTACATAGACTGCTATCAACAACTCTTTTGTTGTATCCGCATGATTGAACGCGATAGCAGAGTCGGATTCTGACGCGACTGGATGTACAGAATGCTCGAAGGTGTACCCAAATTTCCGGTGAATCCGTCGACGTTCTGGATGTTTTATGTTTGAACGGTTCAACCGCTAAACAATATCCGGAAGTTGAGACTGCCTCTTCATATCCCAAAAGGAGGTACGGGAGGTTTATGGGGTTTTTCGTACATAAAATTCAGTTCAGCAGATGGCACCCTCACACAAATCTCGAAGGTCACAACTGCGCTTCCGATTTGTGCAATCTTTGGGTAAAAAAAGTTTCATCTATAGATTCCGACGTGTAATCAAGCTATACCGATATACCCTGTAGGTAACAGAGATGTCCTCTATTATATGTCGATAGTACTTTCCGATAACTGTCAATAAATCTTATGAGTACAGCTGGTCTCGGTTAGGCAGTGGAGAAATTTCAACGCAGCAAGTATAAATCCGCATATGAATCAAAATCGTTCATTGTTCAACCCTCCTCATCTGCAAAAATTTATGTTGAACTCATGGCAACTACTTGTTAATTACACTAAAAGCTTTCAGATCAGCCTGAAAGTTTAGCTTCGCCACATTGATTGATTTAGGATAGTGCTCCGTTCCCTCTAGCTACTACTTACTATTTTGTATTAAAACATAAAACTTTCTTGAAATAAAGTACAACGCCATTACAAAACAAATTTCCACTGATGGTGTGACTAGTGTTTATGCGGTGATCATGATGATAATAACGATGATTTTCAGTAAAGGGGGAATGAGTTCAGACTGTACCCCAAATCAGTTAATTAAAAAGAGGCGTGTCTTCATCGCCGACTTTCAGTTTTGTGTTCCCGTTTATCCTTCGAATGGCTACTACGTTCTGTTTACATGTCTTCAAAAAATTAAACCGAGTGTATAAAGTGTGGCTGATCAAAAGAATCCTAAGGACGTTTCAAACGCTTATTAAAAAGAGCCCTACAATCGATTGTCTCACACCTAACGGTTCACCTTATGGATGAGGAGTGATCAAAAGTACTGAGTGGGCATCCTCGTTTGTCCTTGGAAGATGAATAGCTAGGCTACTGTGCCTCTCAATGTCAGTCAGATGAACTCATTTTCGAAACGAAGTACTAATGGCAGTCGCTGCCAACTTTAACTCATCGAAACTAAACAGCAGTGGTCGATGTTGAACGTCGGTTTTCGTACCCAGTCACGTGATTTTCAGGGTCGTTAATCTGATTGGGCGAATGCCAGTTTGGCCAGACCTGGATGCCGGATAGTCGGCTCAAGAAGTTTGGATCGTTGGGGCGTGCGAATGTTCTAGTGACAAACGCTTGAGATCAGGTGACCTAACACAAGACCACTAAATCACATGATCGGATGTCGCCGCCAATGCCAAACTTCCTAACAGCCTTACGGCGCTGTTTACGTGACAGAATATAGCCGAGAAAACTAAAAACACAAGAATCTTGGTAAATTTATTTTAATTTTACGAAATTGGTGTGGAATCTGAGACTTTACGAGCTAGAGTTGGCCGGCAAACTCTGGTGACAAGAGATTCGGGTCGAAACGTGCTAAGCAATACGCGTACGTAACAAAGGGTTGACGTGGACCAGGACAATTGACAGACCAGATGGTTGAATCCCCTAGCTTGAAACTGATTTCAATTGAAGAATTGTCGCAAAACATAGCATTCTATAAAATAGCAGACCAACAATATAGAGAGAAGTAATGTCCTCGAAATAAAGGTTATTACGTAGATAAGACTATTCGTCCCTGCTGGGCTAGTGTGCAGAGTGTAAGAAACGGTGAAAATATTGCACAACCAACTAACTATGTGAGCCTCCGGAAACGACTTAAAAAATCTTCAGATTATGACTGAACTTCTCCTCATACCGTTGCAGAGGGATTGATTTTATTGTCTGTAACTTCAAAGGAGTTTCGATTTCTCAAAGGATGCTGCATGAGGTTTCGTCCAGTCAGTGAAGACAATGTATGCTGGAAAACCAAGAAGCACTGCGCAGCTGTTTTATCCCTGTTGGGAATCATAAGCAGTGCGCGTCTCACGAAACTCGGAGAGTTTTGAACCTCCGACCATCCGGCCAGTAGTTGAGCATTTGACCATTTGGCTACGAGCGGCTGTTCAGCAGTGTGACTAACTCTCACTTGGACAGGACATAGCGCCACTCATCCTTCAATAACGGAAACCATACCACGGGGTTACGTATCGACTAACCGGAATATCAGGATTCGAAACTCTCTGAGTTTCTTGAATCGCATACTACTGCCGATTCCCAGCAGAGATCACCAACAGGGAAAAAACGGTTCAAGGTAGAGTGGCTTCACCGACAAGATGAAATCTCTACTACATCTTACTAAATCTCCCCTTATCACCATCAGTATTGCATTAGTTATTTGATCACCTAAATAACACAGTTAAGATCCCCTTAGTCTCGTGTTACGCCCCACGCACTAGAATTTCCGTTCACACCAGGCATCCATCCAGCGAATGCGGTGTCCTTATCTAGGTCAACTAGCAGGATGGAACCCACAGTTCTCGCAGGTCATCGAAGGTAGTTTCAACTCGAGAAATAGCATTCCTATTCAGTCCAGGCGCATCCGAAATCCCGCTACTGATAATTTGCAGGATTAAAATTTTTGTCACCTACCTGGTAAGTGTACCCTGACTAGGTTTGAGCCACAGGATGACAGAAAACAGGTTTACTCAGAATGTACTTGAAAGTATTGTTTTCCATTATAAATTCACGATGGAAAAAAATCTGGTAGGAAGTAGACATTGACATAGTTACGCGAAATGAGATCGATCACAGCCAGCTTGAATGCTGTGAGATCTCTCTCTTTCGGTCCATGCTCATTTGATGTTCTTTTCACGCTACTAAAACCTTAAAGAGAATGGCAGGTATCCAATACCGTCGGCCTAAATGCTTTTGAAATCCTCTGTTAAAAAACATGCTGATGTGCAACTGAGCGCACTACGCGAGTTTCCTATAAGTTGGGTCTAAGTAAAACATGAGGTTGGTTGGAACTCGTGGACCACATCTACCTGATAAAAACCCCAAGAAGACTGCAACCGGTCGGGGCTATCCAAGAGTTCTCACCAACTTTATGAGCAGTTTCCTTCAAGAGAATACCATCATTCACTGTGTCCCAGTTGAATAGCCAAAGGAATAGAATCAGGAAAATAAACTCTGGCGGGATGTCAACTTCTGGGTCAAGCCAGCCTGAGGCAGTATTGACGAGGTCATGGATTTGAAATCAAAATTTGTTTGGTTAATCTAACCCGATTTCAGTCTAGCAACACTCTATAAATTGTAGCTTTATAAATCGTAGTTACACTCAAAATCGTGCTTTTATGGTATTTTGTGAGTGAACGACGGTTTAGGGTCCCTTCTTGGGTACACAGTTATTCGTCGGGGACCAAAGTCAGAGACTTGTGTTCTCAGGGATTAAATGCTTCACCAGAGTATTTGCTTTGGAATTTCTAGTGGCTTAGCCTCAACCGAGGTAACGATAACATTTCACTGTGTGATCGTTTGGACTTACTCCCTGAAAATCACACTGGTTGTCCAGTTACATATGGTTCGTTTAGCGTCCCCTTTTTGAAGGGTAACCCACTGAGCGCGTACGTCAGCCGAGCCCTTAAAGTGAATCTTCCAAAACAGGAACTGGTCTGCCTTATCTCGGATCCTACTATCTGGTGCTAAATATCACAAATTGGGTTTTATCACTAGTACTCTCGACATTTTCCGTCTTCGTTCTGGGTGGATTCATGTAAGTTAACGATATTTTCGTCCAACATTTACCTGTTTCTTCCGACACTGAACTACTGAATGGAATAGTTCGTCCACTGCACTGGCCAATGAAAACCTCTACTTCCAGCCCCATTGTAACAAGCTAAATAATGCCTGAAGCGTCACAGGTCAAATCGTGTCTTCGTTAGAATCGGCCCACAAACATGTATGGGCATTTTTCGCCTCATGTGCATGATGGAACTGCTGGAGTTGGAGACACACTGGAGGTTCAGCGAAGTCCCCCGTTGTTCCCGGTGTAATTTTCAGCTCATAGACTGCATCGAAAATCCTTTGCGAAGATGCTGAATAAAGTTTAAATTGTTTTGAAACAAGTAGTATGGAACGATTTACTAAGGTTCACCGAAAACCCACTTTCGGTTTCAACCTGTGGGAGATTCGTCAGAGCGCCGTAAATATTAGCCAACAGTCTCTTCTAGAAATCGAAAGTAAAACGGGACTTGCGTAGAACAGCTAAAGAACTTGTTCTCACTGATATGAGGCTATATCAGTGCAGCAAGTAAGACACACAAAAAACTAACTGACAGAAGTGAACATTCAGCAACTACTTTCTAATCACCTAACTGTAAGTAGTTTCTTTAAAAAAAAACCTAGAAGCCCTTATCAAACCACGTCGCTTTTGATATCACGTTGAGGCAATCTTTCTTGAAGCGTGATGCCTCCAGGGCAACTATGTCCGTTTCGTGATATTTTTCCAGACTCCAGATCGATATTCCCAACCGACAATCCAAAGTTGCTTCTGATGACGTATAGCTAATATTTTTCCGTTTGAACCTAAATTGTGGGCCTGCGCGGTCTAGCCAAAACATCCTACGCCGTTTGAAATAAACTTTTCACTTAATTCCTAAGCATCTGTACGCGATTATCTATAAGTCTTAGTTCGGGGGACGTGGATAATCTCAGTCAGTTGTATTGTGTGCATTTTTTACATGTCGTTAGCCATTAGGGAGTGTAAGACCAAACTTGTGGTCCCCTAACTTCATGGCTAGTAACCTTAAAACTTCACCGTCACTCCTTCCTTCCATTTTTTGTGAACTGATAGGGGGATTAATTGTATTTAGAGGTTGCCCCCTACAGTTGGGTCCAGTTATAATCTACCTTATCAGTTCTTCTTGGAAACGTCTATCAGATTTAGGTTGAAGAGCCTTACAGGGGGTTTCGTTTTATTCAAATTACACACTGTCTATGATTTTCCCACCACTGACAAAATTGTAGGTTGGTCGCAAAAACGGTTCGTTTGTTGCGTCCGCCGTATCTCAAGAAGTCACCGCATCTTACTCCATCCCACTGAATCCTTCGTAACCAGCCGGATTAGGGACAGTACAGCTGCATATTTAGCCGTTTATTCTGTTCTGGCCACCATACAAATCTCGACTGACAAACCATGTGTTGATAACGCTTTGGCAGACCACATACATAGGTCTCGATACATACCTCACGTTTTTATGTGTTGTCTAGCTTTTGGATTCAGGAGATATGCCCGCAAAGTGAAATAGTTTACACGGCCGTCAACGAAAACAAAAATCTACATAGAATCATAGTAACCAGTCATGGAATCCTGGGTCGGTCGCCCTGAGGCACTGTGTACTGCCGTAGGGCATCCAAAAGTCTTGGGATTTTGGAGTTTTTTCTCCCCTGGAAAAGGTTCGTTCTTAGCAGAAACCTTTGAAGTAAGGCCTGTACTTTCTACTTTAAAGAGTCAGTCCGGTTCAGTTCATGTAGAATTCATGGCTCGTGACAAATGCGAAAGAATGATAATTTCCATAAATTGACTCCGCTCTCATGATATGGTTTACCTGTATTGTCTTTTGACCCATCTTGTGGAGCAGTTAAACCACAGGATCTTTTTTTCAAACTTTATATCACACTAGAAAATTCTGAAGACTGACAAATCATGATAACTATGGACGCTTTTTGCTAACCTCCTGTCATTTTTGTGCTTGCAGGTAGGCAATAGTGAGAGACAAACATCAGGCACCCTTTTTTGAAATTTTCTTTGACTTGGATTTATTTTGTTCTGATAACGGAGTGCTGAAGGCAGTAATCAACAGACGTTCCTCATTTGAATTATCCCTGCGCACACAGTGTGGAAATTTAACGACATAATTGTGAGGGGAATTTTCTGGCCGAAAGTTATCGAACAACTGGAAGCCCACGCGTGGTGTGCGTGATACTTAGCGTGGAACTGCTGACAAGCACCGGGTGCCTATTAGACCTGTGAAAACATTAGTTATCAGACAAACGGAGACCAGTCACTAACCATAAGGCAGCCAAAGCATACTGGCGTAATACTGAGAACGGCGCCATTTTTCAACCTCTTCAAAGTTACGAGCCATTTCTCCTTTTATGAGACTGTGCCATCATCCTAGTTGACCACCCATTACTGAACTGTTTGGGCGATATTGGGATTCTCCAGGGACCGAATGTTTACTAATATTATCTTTTCATGAAATTGTACCAGCGTCACTGGAGGGATTGCGGAGTTGAAAACCCATACACCTGTGTCATCATAATCGAGCCAAATTAGCGGCATAACACTGAGACATTCAGTTCATATCATATGACGGTTAACGCTTTTCCCAGTTGAAACCCATGAAGATAAGTCAGGCAGCTTCCTGAGGACGTACTTCATTATACACTATTCTTAGTATTATCCTGACGTTGATAGGTAGCCGCAAGAACCACCACCAGTTTTCATGCTGTGGGTAATTCACCGCATTGCTCTGTATTTTCCGTAAAATGTGATGATAATTCCCACCAAATGAAGAAAAATCAAAGTAAAAACAGCGTATTAGGATAAGTTGTTTTAATGTGACTTTTCAGTTACCATGGTCACTCTTTTACAAGGCCAAATACATGGGCCAGACAGTAAAGCAACTCCATGTGTGAATCACAGAACACAAACGACGTGCGCGTTTTCCTCCACGAAATCCAACTGCGTCAAAAAAAATTTGAACGCGACTCAGCCCCTGCACTCCACACACTTGATTCAAGCCATCAGATTAACGCACGCTCCAGTCAAGATTCAAATCACATGAATCACTAGAGACCAACACACAACCGAACTGCCACTATCCCGTCTATCTAGTTTGGATGTGCTAGACACCTAAGTAGGCACGGTGGCCATGCGCCAAGCTGGGGTCTGTGACGCATCGCAGTCAGCGGAGCGATAAACGGAAGCACGCCTTAGTGACAGCACACAGCACGTCAACGCACACACAGTGCTAGCACACACACGGTGATCGCATCCGACCGCCAACTGATCCCGAGGACACCAATCAGAACACATGATACTGGACCCAAATGACGCTACATTTGTCTCGTATTCGTTTGATTGTAGGAATCTTTGAGACAGGTTGCTCATTACAACCGAAACGTCGGATAATAACATTATTCCGCTACACCATTCTAACGTTGAAAGTTTCCATATAGCGCTAGGTCTTTTGAACAATATACGAACCGAATTTGGCCCGGAACATTTTGGGCGTAAACGAACCGTGCTCGTTAGGTCCAAAACTAGTTTGGCAGACGGTTAATAAATACAAGGTGAAAGTAATGATGCTTGTCATTTCTTTTTCCAGGGCAACAGTTTCGACGACCAGTGTCCTCAGTTCACTCGATTGATGGATATTGTCGAACCCAGAGATCCCCTCAACCGATTGACAACGGCTACCGATCGGGACTCAACACCGACGGACAGACAGTCAACTAAGTAATATATTACTTAACCCAGTGTGAGAAAACTAATATAGAGAGGTGAAAGTAAATCTTCAATCCAGACGTGACTTTCCGAAAGTTCTGAATTTTCTGCCGTCTACCGAGTAATCACGTACATGTTCTAAATCTTTATTTCTCAGCACAACTGTTGCGCAATAAATTTTCGAAAGAACCAAACCACTGTCTTTTAAAAACCCTTCTCAGACTGAGCTTTATTTCGCTCTAGATATTGCTCTGATTAAGCAGCAGTATCTTCGTACCGGGAGTAGTGACTTAACCAACTTTGTGGTTTTCTTGCCAAATAGTCTGAAGTGAAGTTTCTAAAAGACTCTCCAGGTTCTGTAGATAAAAGCCATTACAAAAACAAGTAAGCAAGGCTATGTTGAGTTGGCCAGTCTAGGAGAGCATCACCGTGCCCGACACCTATACTCAGAACCGATAAAAAACATTTATATAGTGGCCCAGTCAATGAGTCGAAATTTTTGGAAAATGGAAACTCTTTCGCACCGATAAGACCTTTGTTGCTCAAACAGAAGCTGTATAATCAACCTTCCGAATTCCACCGAGCATGAATTAGGGAAAGCTATTTATAAAATAGTCGGTCGGAACGATCTATCTTTTCTCCTCTTCTTTTATGGAATCTTTCTTTGTTGAAAGTCTTCCACATGTCTTCCAATGTGACTGTGCTGCAACAGTTCGAGCCTTAGAACTATGATGTCATGATCAGTTTGTCATCATCAGCGCACTGTTTATCCGTCTTGTGGTGCTTACAGAATCCTGTCCCACTTAGATTTCCGCCCTGTAAGATATGCATGATGAAGACGCACTAATCTTTTGATTCTACGACCAATCATCTCACCCTAAACGCAGACTCCTTTGGCACCACCATCTTCACTACATACGAATACGACTAACGAGAGGTGTTGTGGTGAAGCTAAACGCAGTTAGTGTGCCACCGGGCGAAGCAACAGTGGGCTCTGAGATTCGAACGGTGTTCATTTAACCAGAATGCTACCCGAATCGTCGACTGACTGAACTGGTCAACCCAGTCCCACTGCTTCGTCGAACCCTCACTATCGACCCGGTGGCCTGCCCGACTAGTTGAATTCCTACATAAACTTTCAGAGAGTGCACTCGCATGCTGGTGTGCCTACTGTCAGATGGCGGGAATGTTGTCACTCGGGGACACGATTTTAGCTGCCAGTAGAATTCGGCAGACATTTGACTATCAGCTTGCAAGCTTGTCTGGTTGTCGTCGGTGCGACAGCTGGACTAACGTTGAGACTGATGTCTGCCAGCAAACTGAGGTCAAGTGGCGCGAAATATGCTGTCTAGTTCCGAAGGGGGAGGGGATTGCAGTCGGTTAACACGTCGCGACTGGGAAAGTATGGCCGACAGTGGTGAAAATCTGTCCCCCAACAGTGCGTTGCTCGACCTTTTGGAAAGTTGATTCAAATAAAACCGCACAGGGTGAAGTGATCACAGGCGTTCATAGTCTTAACTTTCTCAAAGGTCTTTTTTCATTATTATCGACCGTCAAACAATTTGAACTATTTTGGAAAGTAAAGTAGAAGAGTAGAGGTCGGGTTTCGTGGCTTAGTAGGTGGAACCAATGGAGATGTCATTGTTTCGAAGACCTTGGTAAATAATCACTGGATTTGTTGGTGGGTCATATTTCGATTTTGGGGAAAAACTACTTCAGGTACAGTAATTGGATTACCACGCTGACCAAGTTTTGCCGCAGACGGAGAGATAATCAAAAGGATATGTGTCCTCTACCAAAAAACAGCGTCGTGTCGTTTAAAAATCCTCGCTTAGTGTGAGTGGTTATCGTACAACCAACTTGTTTGTGGTTCGAAAGATGGAGTCTTCATGACGATCTGTGTATTTCCATACATTCACAGGTCGGTTGTTAGATAGGACGTGGGACATATTTCCTGGTAGGTGAATCTGCACTAATCAACATTCTTCCGGCTCACTTAAGGAACCGACCAAGCTGCTGTCTAAAGGGGGTTAAACTACGAAGTTTGCTTTTCCTTTGCTAGTTCCCTCGACCTTCCTAGCTTAAATTGCACGCAAATTCAAAGTGTACCGGCTGGCTTAAAAACGAAAGTACACAAAACTGAGGTATATATATAAAGAGGCTGAGGTAGGATACCTGAACAGCACTTCGGTGAAACTCAATCCAGTATTCTCACAGTGCGGTTACTGGTGAAAGGTAGAAGGCCTTTGCTGCGGAGTTGTTTATTAGAAAATGCCAACTGACCGGTTACGGACCATTAGACAGTGAAGCAAAACTCTCATTTGCATCTTATTTACAAAAACTGGACATCCATCTTCTTCTGAACACGTCTCCTTGAACTTTCCCGGATATTAATTTGCTCCAATCATTCCTCACCCAAATCCAGGCAAATGTTACAAAGCGACTCCACAAATTCCGCAACAGAGTTCCCCTTTTCAAAAGGCGCAAAGCGAAATTCCACGAACAACACATAGTACTCGCGTGCCTCTCCATCGCTAGTATCACCGTTACACTGATAGCTGAAAAGCCTAACCGGAACAAATCACTCAGTTTTAGGCCTAAACAAACAAATGCGGACAATATTCGGTAGGGAATCAAATGCCGTGGCATATTTGGGCTTTACTGAACTGGTTGGGGTGAAATAATGTGTTCGTACGTTTACCAGTTTATATGTTTGTACGCTGACCGAAATCGTCCAAGTAAAATAAGTCCAGGAGGTGAAAGTCTATCCAAAGGCATGGTGAACTCGATGTAAAAGTCTCGTGCTAACTGACATGGCAAAATATTTGCAGTTCAGCTGTCGTTTAACTTGTTGAATGGTAGAATGCATGCATTTATGCAAAATCAGTACCCACTAGAAAAGCGGTCAAGCGGCGAACCACGGAAGGAAGGATGAACAGTCCTGTTCACAGCTTTGGCGATACTATCCGTAGAAATGAGCTATTAATGCATTACAATATTTCAACTCTTATTCTCTGCACTTAAAACCTGCAACTCATATTTTGTTCACACCCGATAGGTCAGGTGAAGCAGTTCATTTAAGTTCATCTATCAAGCAAATGAGTTATTTAACTGTTTCATTTTCAAAGAAGCCTCGTCCAACACACTCAGAGTTCATAATGTTTTTTTTCGGTTGGCATTTAATAATCATCGGTCGCGCCCATTAGCCGAATGGCTCTTACACAACTGAACGGCAGTAAACCACTTCTTTTTCGCGGTCTAGATCGGATCGAAAACTTTTGCCCCAAAACGAAATTTGGCCTTCATCTTGAAGCAAACTTGATTAGCCGTGTGGTTGAACATTTCTTTAGTTGAATTCCTCCATGAAATTCTGACCGAACTGATACTACCTGAAAACTAGGGAAATAATGCAATTCTTTATGTCTCAAGTTCTCAAGATCCGCATTTTTTGCTTCTCCACCGGATCCAACACACGGCAGCGCTGAGTGTATGACTGACGTCGAAATCCGATTTACTGGTCAACGGTAGTCCAACCACAGAACGTCCGCGTATAGTAGGAAAGTAGTAAACAGTTTTCATAAAGGAAACTACTCACAAGGTTGCTGAAAACTCTTCGGCAGCCCATGACCGGTTTCGCCCTTCTTGGGGCTCATCAGGTAGGCGCAGTCCCCGAGTTTCCGTCAACCGTGTGTTCTACTTGAACCCGAATTGAACTGTTTTTCGAGAAATACACTCATTGGCAAATCAATTTGGCTTTCACGACAGACTCATCCGAACCTCTCGTTTATGAGATTCTCGGGACATCTCGAATATCGTGCCAACTGAATCATGAGGCGGCCTGTGTGCAGCACATCCAGTTGTAGAATCTCATAAACGAGAGATTCAGTTGAGTCCCTTGTGAAAACTAAATTGATTTGCAAATGAGTGTTTCTCGAGAAATAGCAGACAGCTTGTTCCGAGCTGAATATGGAAGTCCTTAACTGTAACCTAAGAGATTCTGGAGGAAAAGGCGACAAAATTTCCAGCATTCTCCAGCGGCGCGTAAGGTACGGACAAATCGCTTGACAACTGAGAGATTGGCAGATCCGGATGTTAAGCGAATTTACTAAGATGGTCTTCTGGAGTCTCCCAGCTACTCGACTACCACTTGTGATTTTATACTGGGACGAGATCTTCACGGCATTTCACACTGCTGGGAGTTTTGCCTGCCAGTGCCTCAAGCACTGGATGTCAGATCGAGAAGCGGCACTGTTTAAACCTCGGAGAAATATCCCCGCCGGTTTCGAACATAACTTGACCCGACGGATTGACAGACGTGAAGTGGATATGAGCGTGCGAGCCGACCGCGAATTCTGATGGATATGGAAAGCCAAGGAAACAGAAGAGGTAGAGAAATCCTGGAATGCCTGAAGATTATTTGAGCTGATCCGTGCTACCGGGAGAGTCGATGACAGTGCCCATTTTGAAAAAAAGCTCGTAGTTAGTGAGGTAACCGCAATATGATCACTTTGACCGCGGTCGTAACAAGAATGTTGACGTCGCTTATCCTTCGCCCCCTCATGGCGGCTCGTGAAACTGATTCCCGAGTAGAGTTGGAAGCAGGATGAGGAGAAGGGGAAGGAGTAGCAGTAAGCAGGATTCCGACCTGGTAGGGATCGCGCTGACCAAATCCTCAACCTCCTTCAGCTGCTAGAAAGATGACACACGTACAAACGATCAAAAATTTTAGTATTCCCTGATTTCCTAGACGCATTCAACTCAGTAGACCGGTCTGTTCTCTTTGACAAGCTCGCTCATCAAGGAATGCCATAGAACGTAGAAAGTTCTTTGTGTTCTCGGCCTTCTGGAAGCATGTGCGCTCTCCAAAATCTTTCATACATAAAGTGGTGTCCGCTTAAGGTATTCGCCCTCTCCATCGTCGTGTCGTTTAAAAATCCTCGCTTAGTGTGAGTGGTTATCGTACAACCAACTTGTTTGTGGTTCGAAAGATGGAGTCTTCATGACGATCTGTGTATT